GAGTAATGATGCTGAAAATTCAACTTTGCATCACAGGAATAAATTACATTTTAAAATATATTAAAATAGAAAACAGTCTGTTAAATTGTAATAATATTTCACAATATTACTGTTGTTATCCATTTTTATAAATGCAACATTGGTGAGAAAAAAAGAGACATCTTTCAAAACCCAAACCCCCAATTTTTAACATTAGTGTGCACATTTAAAATGTACAGTTTTTAAAGGCACACCAAGTAATATTTCCAATCAAAAACATAAATATTACTTTCAAAAAATGTCTTGTGAAAAAAAAAATCAGCTTCTTATTTTTGTGACCTGAAGTGAAATCCCATAAATGCTGATGAATTAGAGGCAATTTGGAATGTAAATAGTGTTCATACTGTGCAAAGTGTGCATATTTTCTGTATGCATGGAATACTAGAGTATATTTGCCTGAATGTGCAGTATACAACCGAGCATTGTGTGGGACAGCTATATCCCAGAATGCAATGTGCGCAACTTTACATTGCATTTTTAGAATGACAATGGAAACGGAATCAATATCAATAAAATATTAGATTTAAACATGCAAAATAAAACATGAATTAAACATGCAATGCAAGTTGGCATACTACTGTTTGAAATGTTTGTCATTAAGTAATGTGTTCTGTTTCACATACGCAGCAAGCAGCGCACTAGTATTCTACTGCAAATATAGCCATAGACAAAGACTGACTTAATGCACCTTTAATGTTATGTCCTGACTTGGAACTACAAAACATTTTGGACATATCTTTGCTCAAAACTACAAACAATTGTCTTAAATTGCTTCTGCTTATCAAGTTCATCTTATCTTCAATCTGCAGTTGGAAACAGCAAAGAAAGCGTACCACATGGCCTGCAAAGAAGAAAAAATTGCATCCACAAGGGAGGCCAATAGCAAAGGAGAGGCGTCAGTCACATCAGATCAGCAAAAGAAACTCCAGGAGAAGTTGGACAAGTGCAAAAACGACGTTCAAAAGGTGAGGCAAGGAAATAATGCATATTATGCACAACATGCATTTTTAATAACAATTTCATAGCATAAGCAAAACAAAAGTTATGTTTACGGTCATGCACTTACATTGAAAATCTACGGAACAACTGGGACATTCCTTTAAATTGTGTGAATGGCTTAAATTATTGTCAATATTTGGTTTTGTATTTTAGCAGTATCCATAAAATGTTGGCCTGCCGGCCTGGTTTCTTTCGATATGTATTTTATGTAAAATTCCTGTTGCACTTTATGTGACATTTCTTTCACCCGTCTGTTAACAAAAAAATCCGCTTTTAAAGTTCAACACAATAGAAGCAACAGACGGCAGCGAATGGAAATATCCTCAAGCAATTTCATCCGCTATTCATTACACCAGCAGGTCCGACTCCCCAGAGCTTCCTTTCATATTACTACTCTGCCTCTGGAACACTTAATGGGAAACAACACAGGGATGTTCAATAAATGGCCCTCTAACGCACTGTACAGCCAATTCATTAGCCTTTAACCTAACCCAGCATCCATTAGAAGCACTTCTATCACTTCAGCTGAGTCCCAGAGGAATCAGCTGAGCCACAGTACAACAATAGACAAGTTGGACAGTTGAGTGACGGCTGTAGTTATCTATGAAACCATCCCATGTGCATTTATAAAACCAACCCATATAATGATATTAGTCAATTATGATAATGTATGCATGCTGTTGCAAGTATTGCAGCCTAGAAATGCAGGTTTACTCATGCAAATAGCACACAATATATATGAAAAAAATCTTAATTGTCCTAAAATAGTTTTATTTCTTGTGAAATATATTTGCCTAAAATGGGTTTTGCATTTTGTCATTATTTTCATGACACTTAATCACATTTCCCTTACAAATATTCATTATTTCAGTGTCTAAAAATTGCCTTATTTCAAATTTAAGGGGGTCTGAATACTTTCTGTACCCACTGTATATACACCTAAATTTACTATTTCATTTTTTCTTTGCAGTCCACTTATAAGTTTTGTGTACCGAACATGACCATTTTTTGTCCTCTCTGGCCCATGAACTGGGTCAGAATTGAATTTTTAGAACTTTATGCAAATACTCTCTGTTATGATTGGCTCACCTCTTCACATTTGCATAAATGAGGCATCTCTTATGCAGCAAGTCAGAGGATTTAAGATGCTGTTTGTTTTGTGTTTCAGGCCAAAGAGAAATATGAGAAGAGCCTTGATGAGCTCAGCAAGTGCACGCCACAGTACATGGAGAACATGGAGGTGGTGTTTGAGCAGTGCCAGCAGTTTGAGGAGAAGAGGCTGAACTTCCTCCGGGAAGTGCTTCTGGATATCAAACGCCATCTTAACCTCACCGAGAGCCAAAGGTAAGCTTCAAATCACCTGAACCTGGTGGTCTGAAGTCTTGTCTTTTTATGAACATAATACATTCATAAACATACTTGATTTCTGGTTTTTGATGTCTTTTGAGGTCATCTATATGCTAGTGTCCTGTTGAGGAATGAAACTTCAAATTCAAAAAAATTCAAAAGTTTGGGGTCAGTAAGATATATACATATATATATATATACACACATATATATTTTTTTTTACATTTTCATGAAGTGCTGAAATGGATTTTATTGCAAAACATCAAAGTTAATGTGTTGATGTAGTTGCCCCTTTTTAAAATGAGAAAAAGTGACAGACGATTTATATAGAAATTAAAACGAATAGAAACACTACGTTACTTACGGCCCTGACGTTTGTCCATTGACACAGACAAGAAGGAGAGAGAACAGAAGGAGCCGTTTCCAACAGCAGCTAATGTTCAGATCCATGATGACGAGTGATCATCCAGGTCCTGACATGAACTGAGCCGTCTCTTTTTTAGTCAGCAATGATGCATTCAATTAATAAGTAACAGTAAAGGTATTATTCATAATACAAAAGATTTCTGTTATGAAATGTATTATGAAATAATAAATATTACTTGAGCTGCAAATCAGCATATTAGAATGATTTCTGAAGATCATGTGACACTGAAGACTGGAGTAATGATGCTGAAAATTCAGCTTTGCATCACAGAAATACATTTTACAATATATTTAAATAGAAAACAGTCCTGTTTCATTTTAATAATACTTAATTACAGTACAAACTGTAATATTATTTTTAATCAAATAAATGCAGCCTTGGTGAGCAGAACAGACTTTCAAAGACACAACAAAAAAATCTTCCCAACCCCAAACTTATATGTATATACAGTATATGCACACACACACACACACACACACACACACACACATATTATATAGACTTTTTTCATTAAAAATCATACCGACCCCAAACTATATGATTTATAAGTTGCAGTCTTTCTCTAAATATTTATGCTGGCCCATATACAAAATTCACAAATTATAATTTTAATAGCCTTTCAATGCCCTGCCGCAACTTCCTATTGAAATAGGAAATACATGAATATATAAGAAAATTGCATTTACCAAACCAGTCATCAGTCTCTTAATCTCTTTAATTCAATCTCTACAGCTATGCTGCAGTCTACAGGGAACTAGAGCGAACCATCGCCTCAGCCAGTGCTCAAGAAGACCTCAAGTTGTTCAGCAACGTCCACGGGCCAGGCATGCACATGAACTGGCCACAGTTTGAGGTAAAGTCTGTATGTGGGATCTGTGAGGATGTGCAGCACCACATATCTGGTGCTAGTTACTGAATATCACTCATAATCCATCCTGTCTCTGAATCAGGAGTTCAACCCAGAGCTGGCAGGCAGATGATAGGGACACTCACTGTGGTGTCAGATCCTCTGAGAAGCTGGTGTTTCTCTCTCTGTAGTTGTGCGATCTCTGCGCTCTGGCTCTGCAGCTGACCTCTCAGCAGCTCCACCTCCTGCAACCACACAAAAACAGTGCTGTCTAATCGCATTGTTATCGAATCATAATGTTACGTGCTGAAATCTTCACTGTATATCACGAAGAGAAAGCTTGGAACTTCACCTTTTGTAATTCTGTGGCGTCTGAAGTCGAGCCCTCTGCCGACGGTGTGGCCTCAGCCTTCTGCTGGACACCAAACAAACATTTCCAAATATACCACTACTGTTTGAACGCTTTGGGTCGGTATGATATTTTTCTTTTGGGAGGGGAAGGAAATTAATACTTCTGTTCAGCATGGACGCATTAAACTGATCAAAAGTGACAGTAAAGACATTTATAAAGTTACAAAAGATTTCACATAAATGCTGTTCTATTCATCTGTGAATCCTGAAAAATAATAATAATCAGAAATGTTTCTTGAGCAGCAAATCAGCATATTAGAATGATTTCTGAAGATGATGTGACACTGAAGACTGGAGTAATGATGCTGAAAATTCAGCTTTGCATCACAGAAATACATTTTACAATATATTTAAATAGAAAACAGTCCTGTTTCATTTTAATAATACTTAATTACAGTACAAACTGTAATATTATTTTTAATCAAATAAATGCAGCCTTGGTGAGCAGAACAGACTTTCAAAGACACAACAAAAAAATCTTCCCAACCCCAAACTTATATGTATATACAGTATATGCACACACACACACACACACACACACACACACACATATTATATAGACTTTTTTCATTAAAAATCATACCGACCCCAAACTATATGATTTATAAGTTGCAGTCTTTCTCTAAATATTTATGCTGGCCCATATACAAAATTCACAAATTATAATTTTAATAGCCTTTCAATGCCCTGCCGCAACTTCCTATTGAAATAGGAAATACATGAATATATAAGAAAATTGCATTTACCAAACCAGTCATCAGTCTCTTAATCTCTTTAATTCAATCTCTACAGCTATGCTGCAGTCTACAGGGAACTAGAGCGAACCATCGCCTCAGCCAGTGCTCAAGAAGACCTCAAGTTGTTCAGCAACGTCCACGGGCCAGGCATGCACATGAACTGGCCACAGTTTGAGGTAAAGTCTGTATGTGGGATCTGTGAGGATGTGCAGCGCCACATATCTGGTGCTAGTTACTGAATATCACTCATAATCCATCCTGTCTCTGAATCAGGAGTTCAACCCAGAGCTGAGCCACTCCATTAATAAGAAAGAGAAGGTGAAGAGGAACCATGATGGAGTCACGCTGACTCAAGTCACACATGGTGTAGATCAGGGCACACCGCAGACTGGAAACCGGGGCAGGTACTGATGCTTTTGTGCTATTGAAGCTCTTTGTTAATGTTTTCATCTACGAAGAAACTAACTTGAGCTTCTCTCATCTGGTTGTGCTCTTCAGCGTGAGCAGTTCTGAGAAGAACCAGCAGTATTCTGCTGAATGGTCCGATGACGAGCAGCCGCCTGCGGCTCAACCAGCCAGCGAAACAAACGGCGGTGGAAATCCGTTCGAAGAGGAGAGTAAAGGAGTGCGAGTGAGAGCGCTGTATGACTACGAGGGCCAAGAACAAGATGAGCTCACATTTAAAGCAGGTGAGAATCACAAATCAAAACCTAGGAGAACCATACTACCTTTCAGAAGTTTGGGACTGGTAAGATTTTTAAATGTTTTTGAAAGAAGTCTCACCAAGGCTGCATTTATGTGATTAAAATGCAGTAAAAAACGGTAAAATTGTGAAATATTATTAGAATTTAAAATAAGGCTTTTCTATTGTTATATATTTTAAAAATGTAATTTATTCCTGTGATCAAAGCTGAATTTTCAGCATCATTACTCCAGTCTTCAGTGTCACATGATTCTTCAGAAATCATTCTAATATGCTGATTTGCTTTGCAAGAGACTGCTTATTATTATCATCAATGTTGAAAATAGTTGTGTTGCTTCATATTTTTGTGAAAACCTTCTTTGATGAATAGAAAGTTCAAAAGAACAGCATTTATTTGAAATAGAAATATTTTTTATTTTTTATATTATTTATATTTTATATGAACATGTTATAGCCTACAATTTATGTTCTATAAATGTTTTCAAATAATTCCATTTTGGTTGTGGGAATGTTAAACTGTACCTGTTTTCTTACTGTGAGTAAAATGTTATATAAATATCTCAAAACATTTTTTAATATTCGAATAGTGAGCTGTGTTATGAATGTACGTAAGGGCTAAAGTACAGTCAGATGTATATTATAATGTACACTTGCTAGAATAAATAAATGAACATTAAATATAATTTTATAATTATAATTTTATTGTGTGAAAAGAAAATTCAAGAGACATGAAACTACCACAGCTACTAGAAAATCAGTGTTTGATCCTTAAAATCTAGATCTAAGTCGTCTTTTTTATGAATATAAAGCAATCATAAACATAGTTTCTGTTTATATGTTCTATATGCCAGTGAACTGCTGATTAACTACATTTTAGCAGATTTTTAAAAATAACTATACTTTTATTCAGCAGGCATGCATTAAATTGATTGAAAGTGACAGTAAGGACATTTATAATGTTAAAATAGACTCTATTTTAAATTAAAAAAAAAAAACTTTTTATTCATCAAAGAACCCTGAAAAAAATGGGTCAAAAGACAAGAGGCATGAAACTAGCACAGTTACTACAAAATCTGTGTTTTATTCTTAAAAATGCCCATCTTTGCATTTTATCTGCTCATATTAACCATAGGTCCATATGTTTTCTCAGGAGAAGAGCTGACCAAACTGGAGGATGAGGACGACCAGGGTTGGTGCAGAGGCCGGTTGGACAGCGGTCAGCTAGGCTTGTACCCAGCTAACTACGTCGAGCCCGTTTAGTTGCCTTGTGCATTGAAGAAGGCCTTAAAGACTTTACCCCGCACTGCTCGAATGCGAGAATTCAGAGAAACGTCAATTTCCTTGCCTAATTGACTTGCTGAGAAGCTTCACGCAGCATTTCCTTAATACCATAACGAATAAAACCTACAGTATCCAAAACACATATCGTACCCCAGCGAGAGCAGGGAATGATTCTGTGCATCTATGTAGCCATGTTCAGTATGAATTATTGTGCTGCTGACATGTGTTCGCGTATGGTCTCATGTAACAATATTAATGTGATGACGTCCATGAAGCCTAGCATAGCGAGAATCAGCTATGCAATGTGTATACTAGACTTTTATTTTGAAGTGGAGGTTCTGTGTTAAACCTAGTGGCTCTTCGGTATCAACATGAAACGGCATTTTCAATCTATTTCGCTTACATAATTTGAGGTATTTATGGATATTCAATGAGAGAAATGTAGAACGGGACTTGCTTTTATGCTAATTGGATGTGAAAAGAGGGTGTTACATATTAGAATGGATCCATGTGGTTGAGGGGTGGGGCTTGATGACATCATTCAACAAGGAGAGTTGTTGTAGAGGCGGAGCATTTTTATTTTTTTTACATATTTTTCTCGATGAATTGTGCACAATAAGACCAGAAACGTGTGTAAATAGGGTCAGTTTTGCTTTAATGTGTCATGATTTTTTTCCAAGTGTAAATAATGCCACAAAACACCTTAAATTCACTTTTCTTTGTTTTGTTTTTTTATCTTTTCTTCTTCTTTATTTAAACCTATTTTTAAAAAATTGTGAACAAAGAACAAATTGTAAGCTTTCACTTAAAAGAGTGCAGAACTTTGGAGAAGTGTCTAGAAACTTTTTTTTTATTTATTTTTTATATCCTTATCCTAAAGGACTGCTGGTGGAAGTTTTTGGATTTAATGATACAAATTCAGAATCTTTTAGCTTGTTTATGAGACTGGGAGTGTCTTTTAACATGCGATCCATAACTGATTCAGTGGGCAAACTCCTTACTGTAGCGCAACAATGTTCATAATAATCTATGGTGATTTCTTTTGTCATGTTTTTAGCTTCGCTCAGGCTCAGCTGATATGGATTGTGGATGGAGGAGGTGATGTGTATATATACTGTATGTTTAGACTGGACTGATGTGTTTTACTCTTCATGTCAGTGTAGTAACTGTTCCATTCAAGTTCACAATAAAAAAAAAACCTCATGAATCTGAGACCAATGCAAATGAGTGAAATACAAAGCTTTGGGTTACCACTAGAGGTCAGGATTGCAGAAGTCCTTTACTAGTCTGATTATAGTGTCCAATAATCTAGAGGAAATCGGTCATATTTCGCCTCAAAATTGATAGCTAGAAAAATAAGAAGTAATATTTTTCTTAAAGAAAATGAAGCTTTTTAGATTTTATTGCTATTTTTCATAAAAAATATAATTCATAAAAATACAAAAAAGGTATTATTAGAATAAAAATATTGAAATGATGAAATTGTATGTAAATTGTATACATTGAATAAATGTATGTATAATATTTAGTCTGAAAATTGTCTTAATTGTATTTACATCTCAGCAGAAAAATCTCAAATGTAACAAACTCAAAATAAGTAATATTAGAAGAAAATAATGAAATTATATATGTAATATTATATAATAATACATTATATCGTATTTAATACAAATCTTAATTTTATTTGCAACTCAAAGCAAAAAAATCATGGTATTAAGAATTTGGATGGAGTATTAATTGTCATGGAAGTCAAAAAATATAGCAAAATAAACATTATTTTATATCTTAAAGTGCCCCTATTATGGATTTTTGAAAATGACCTTTCATGCAGTGTGTAACAGCTCTAAGTGAATTAAAACATCCTGCAAAGTTTTAAATCTGAAAGTGCACCGTGTATAAAGTTATTGTCTCTCAAAAGAAAGAGTCGACTCTGAATCATTGAAACGAGTCACTTTTAAAACGAATCCCAAGCCGTTTCATGTTGACGTCAACATGAAACAGCATATTGCCCGCCCACTTGTTGGTCTTTTCGCGTTGGTCTGAATGAAAACGCAAATTCATTCTTTGCCACTAGGTGCCACTTTTGGAGCGGTAAAAATAACGGTTTCCCCGGTAACACTGTACACAAAGCAGCACTGCGCTCACAAACCTGCTTTATCAGGCATTACAGACATGATGAAATGAAGCTGAGACCAATTGACCAATCACAGCCAATTAACGTCACGCAAAGAAGGGGGTTTGGAAAAATGAATCCTTGAGCGAATCGTTTGGGAGTCGTTGAGCAAATAAGGTAAAAAATAAATGCATATTATAAGACAATTAAAGTGTTTTTTGACCTTGTATGCATGTCAACCTTTTGTTGGGGACTCCCAAAACCAAAATATGAACCGTTCATTACCCATAATAGGGGCACTTTAAATTATTATTATTATTTTTATATTTTTTTGTGAGATTTTCCCATACACTTTTACAACATATGTACCATGATACAGTGATAGATTCTATGGTAATACATGCAAAATTCTACTATAGTTCCATGTCCAAAAAATTTGGTGTTATTATTCTATAGAGTTAAAATTATTGTATGATTGTAAAAGATCAAGTGAATGATCCACAACACAAAAGGATGAAAAAAGAATATTTAATAAAGAAATGCATTAGGAACAACAACTGAATGAACATGAAAAATTACCTCTCAGCTTTGATATAACTGTATAAGTACAGATCATATTTTGTAATGCCGGCATTAGTGAAAACAACTGTTATCCAGTGACTCTTCTAGATTAGACTTCACAAAAGAGATTTACAAAAAATACAAGAGCCACAATAGAAACCAAACCTCTCTCAGGCTCCAAATGACTTTCTCTCCTAAACTCGGACTTCCTGACTTAAACCTGTCAATTAACCGTTACAACACACGTGACAAATGCAGTGTATGAAAATTCACAGGCCACTATAAGCCCTCGTTTGCATCCGTGTGAAACGTGACGTGAGCAGGGAGGTGCGTGCAAAGGTGGCCGATTACTGAAGAACGTGGAGAAAGTTCACATGGGCAGACTTGAAAGGTTTGCAGTGTAATTAATCACAAGCCAGAAAAATGGGGATGTTTGTTGGGTGGCAGCCAGAGATTAACGCAAACTCGAGTCATTCCACTGCAAATCATGGGCAGGGAAACCAAGGTTTGCTCAGAGACACGCTGGCAGGATTCACACGCTGACGGGCAGACCTTGCGAGTAACCTGTAACATACTTCAAAGAATATCTACTAAATCTCTCTTAGTGCTTCTGTTAAACATCATCATTTATTTGACAGGCTTTTCTTAAAGTAACAGAAAGTAGCAGTGCAAAGCTGATACTACATTTTAACAGACACACAGGAGTTTTTAAAAGAGTGCAAGTACATATTGGACGTTTCCAAGCACAATTATATCTTGGAACTTTCTTGCATCTTTCTTGGTTTCACTGTCATGCAAAACCCAGAAATAGTCTGTGTAGGAGGGCTTGTCAGTTCTCAGTGGTTGAGTTCACGATCTCTCTTATACCGGATGGACGAACTGATAGACGAGTCTTTGCGAGACATCTGGCTTGCGGATGATGCCCTTTTTATAGTACTGCCGAATAGAGCGGCTGAGTTTGTCATAGTTCATAGCCGGACGGTTCTTCCTCAAACCCCAGAGACGCGCCACGTGAGCCGAATCTTCGATTTTGAAGATCCCTGTGAAGACACGCATCCAAAACACGTCCGTTATGGCATTAGGTAAGTTGCTTTACTAACACACCAAATAGCAGAGTGGTACTAGCATGTTTTTGGACATGTACACTCATAAAAAGGTTGTACAAGGGTTTTTTTCCCCCAGCAATGCCATTGAAGAACAATTTATGGTTCTTCAAAGAACATTTAAGTGAACAGTTCTAAAAAGAACCCTGTTTTTCTTAGTGTGAAGAACATTTGAATAATCGAAAGAACCTTTTTCCATTGTCACTCTTAAAAATAAAGGTTCCAAAATGGGTTTTCGCAGCAATTCCATAGAAGAACCATTATTGGTTCTTCAAAGAACCTTTCCGTAAACAGTTCTTACTAGAACCATTTGTCATAGATTGAATAACAAACCTTTTTCCACTATAAAGAACCATTTTGTGGAATGGAAAGGTTTCATAGATGTTAAAGGTTTTTCATGGAACCACAGATACCAAGAACCATTATTTTTAAGAATGCAGCATGGTACTGGAAATAGCTCAGCAAACTATCGTGTAAATTATCATGGAAAATGTGGCCTAATTTTAACAGGCCATGGACATCCATTATTGCCATTATTGTGCTGGAGAGCTGTCATGTCCTCACCTTTCTCTTTATTCAGCCAGCGGATGCAGCGTCCGTAACTGTGAGGTTTGAGGAGAAGTTCTCTGAGGAACTGCCACAGATGGATCGGCTGACCAGAACAAGACGAATCCGCTTCAGACCACAGCTCTTCACCTTCTGTGAGACAACACACACACACACACGTACGGCATTATAGTTACATTTCAAGTAATAAGCCATATTAAAAAAAACTGAATTTAGTCAGAATAGATCATAGCCAGAGCTATCCTTTTTTATAAAAAATACATTTATATCTAGACTGCAAGCATGTGACAGAAGTAAAAAATCAATAAGACTGTCTGGTCTGAAAGTGCGTGACACAAGCATGTTCTGTCAATCATTTCACATCCCTTCATTGATTATAATGGGAGTGTTCTGTTTTGTGACACAGTTTGTTTGCAGTACAGAAGAAGTGAAAGTGTAATTTAAAGGTGACATATCATGAAAATCTGATTTTCCAGGTTTTAAGTGCTATAACCAGGTCCCCAGTGCATCTACCAACCAAGGAAACGTGAAAAAGATTAACCCAGTAATTTTGTTTTGAGAAGCCTTTTTCTGCAAGCATCTGAAAAAACGAGCGCGTCAGATTTCGCTCCCTTGGTGACGTGGCAAAGGGATCTCATTATAATATTACCGCCCCTTAATCTGTGTTTACACCCACAACGCCTTCATTTGATTTCGCAAGGGACAACGGTGTACCAGCTCTAATGCCATGGCAAAAGTTTGAGCAAAACATGTTAATGTTCTGTCTTTGGCTGCACAGACGAGCACAGAACACTATTTACAGTCCCAGCCTCCGAGGAGACAAGACAGCAGTGGAGTTATTGTGTTTTCATAAGCGCAACTGGTGTATTAGTTCTAATGCCATGGCGAAAGTTTGAGCAAAACATGCTAACTGTTCTGTGTTTGGCTGCACAGACGAGCACAGAACACTGTTTAGAGTCCCAGCCTCAGAGGAGACAAGACAGCAGTGGATTTATTGATTTATTTACTGTATATTGCTGCTGCCACAGATCTAAAATAAACATGATTTATTTCCCAGCTGTTCACCTTCACAGACATAACCGAATCTTTTTTGTAACTCGTGTGTTTTTAACATAAACTTGTGTGTGAATGAGAACTTAGTTTAGTACTCACATGCTGTGACAGCCGCTTTCTGTGCGTGTGCGCTCAGAAAACCGTATATCAGAAGTTTAAACTCATATGGTTTAAAACGCATGATTTCAGCGCGATAAACATGATAATCAGAACCAAAACCGATGTTTTTAGCAGGTACGAGCTGTAATGGCGCAGCTCTATTCTGGAAAAGGGGGCGGGGATCAGCAGCTCATTTGCATTTAAAGACACAGGCCCGAAAAACAGCGCGTTTCTGCTTCCACTCAAAATAGGCATTTTCAAAATTATATAATAAATGATCTGTGGAGTATTTTGAGCTGAAACTTCACAGACACATTCTGGGGACACCAGAGACTTATATTACATATTGTAAAAAGGGGAATAATATGTCTCCTTTAAAGAAAACATAAATCAACATGTACATGTATCATGGACCAGTGTTAGTATTATATATAATATTATAGTATTTATTAACATTTTGAACTAGCTTTATTTTTATATTTTCAGTTTTAATTTAAATTTTTAGTTTAAGCTTTAGTAATGTACATTAAATCATCATCATCATCATCTCTATTTTTCTGTATTTAGCTTTATTTTTCAGGGTTTTTTTAGTAATTGTAATACTTCCACTTACACAAAAATGTAAATATAATGAAATACACTGAAGTACAATAAGGACCAACACTTCCATGGAAATAAAATGGTATATGAATATTGTAAGCATCAGTACCATGCCATTGCCAGAATGCTTGTACAAGTTGTGTGATATCAATTTCAATGAAAATTCTTTATGGAAAATGTCTCACGATAACCTCTTTTGTTTATTGGCATTAATCGATCTGATCTGAACAGGTTAATCATTACATGACAATGACAATCCTTTGCTTTCACTAGTATATTCTCTGTCTGTGGTCTGTTTGTAAGGTAATGCCATGGTATTTTTCTGTATATTGGTATCATCGGTGTAGTTTACTGTGCTGTTTCTGTGATGTACCTCTCATCCTGGTCTCTCCACCTGAACATCTTTCCTTCATCCAAGCAGCTGAGTGCACAAAGAAAGAGAGAAATGCAGCATGAATACACATGCATGCAAACATTCAGCTTACAGGACTGAGTTAAAGCTGCCTTATATGATACAATCTCTGAATTTTAGACAGGATGCAAAATTGAAATGTGAATTTTGAATACACATGCATGCAAACATTCAGCTTACAGGACTGAGTTAAACCTGCCTTATATGATACAATCTCTGAATTTTAGACAGGATGCAAAATTGAAATGTGAATTTGAATAAAAAGAAGTAGAATTAAAATGGAATGGAATTAAATAAAAGGTGAAAAATAGCTGCTGAAAGTTGTTTTTAATAATTAAATAATTAAGAAATAATATTTTTCATTATGAATTACCTTCAATCATAACATTAAAAAATAAGATAAAAATGCATTGTGCATACAGTATAAGAGAATAAATAGGTGTTATTAGTCAAAGTTAATCACAAAAAAAAGCAAAAAGTATTTATTAATATTTTGACTTTGCTTTTTTTACATTCTCATAATGTTATTAAAATGTTTAGTTTACGTTTTAGTGATTTTGTTATGTGTTGTTGTGAATTTTAAATATTTATATTTAGCTTTAACTTATTTCAATTTTAGTTTTAGTAAATTTCATTTAGGCGACAAAAGAACATTTCTAATTTTCATTTAATGTTTTTAAGTTTAAGTTCAACTTTCTAATCTTTAACTTTTTAAGTTTAACCTTTTAACCTATTTTTTTATTTTTATTTTATTATTTCAATGAATATTCATTAAACAATATTGAATAGTTTTAGTTAACAACAACAACACTGTCACTGTGCTGTATTTTTTTAAATGGTATTTTAGTGAGTTTCTGCCATTCAAAATCGATTCAACTTCCTGTTTGGCTAATTCAATTCAAATTCACACTGATTAAATGAAAGGGGGTGAATTCTTATATTCTGAATTTTGCACAGCCCTAAATTCAAACAGTCCTCTGCATGTACTGTAGTAAGTACTTAGCTAACTCAGCACACACTGATCAGACTATTTGTATTTCACCTGATTTCCATATATCCAGATGTGCGTGTAAAGTTTCGCTGCACTGAGGCGAACGCTGTCGGAAGTCTTCCTCGCTCATGGAGCATAAATCTTTGCCATCCAGGTCATGGAAGGCCTTTCCCACCTGCGGGAGCCTGTAGAGATGCTCCGTCCACAACAGCCACTTCTGAACGTTCCCACAATTCCACTCCATCGGGTCTGAAAGATCAGATCAGATCAGATAAGCGATCAGTCTGGAGCGCTCAGCCATCTCTGGCAAAACACACTGTTGGGATTGAGAGCTGTTTGGACAGACTCCAAATGTTTTGAAACGTCTTAGTGAAGGAGAGCGCCATTCAGAAGAGCAAACAGTGGGGATGGGTGTTTACGTAAGGTGGTGTGACTGTATAAAGACGCAAAATTTAGCATGATACCACAAACTGCATGAACGTGCTTGTAAAATACGGACAAAGCAATAAATCAATTGTAATATGACATGCTGCTGACAATTATGAGCTATTTTAAGATGCACGGATATTTCAAAACAATATCTGCGAGACATATTTGAATGTTTGCCTGCTCATCATCATTATACGGGAGGGGTTTGAATGTCCTTAAGGAAAGCTCTCAGCACATTAGTGAAACTCCGGAGGATTAGGCAGATCCTGGTCTATGTGCTTTCAGCTGCCTTCAGGGCTGCTGGAGTCAAAGGCCTTTTCTAACAGTTTCATTCTGACTGTTTGCACGGCTCAATCATAACTCAGATCTGTCTGTCACTCACATTGAACAGGAGTGATGAATGGCGAGTTGTTCATTTGAATAAGTGTCATGATAATATCAGCATGTTGTGTTTTACTGCGGAGGCTGTGAACGAGATGTGCCATGAGTGTGTCACAAGTATTTTTCTATATAGGCGATATATTTGTGAAGATATTCTGAATGTATTTTACAGAAATATTTGACCTTAATATATTGATCTCATTCTGCTATATGTGAATATGCATGATATATTTGCATATATAATTATAATCTGAATGTAATGTAAACAAAATTTGAATTTATAGCAGTTTAATATAGTCTAAATACATTATTTGTATGTATCTGGCATCAATACATGACTTTTATCATATCTTTGTTATATATTACTATAGCTGCTTATCTTATTTTGCAGTTTCAGATTGTACAATCTTATCTTATCTTTTGCCTAAACATCTTTAAAGTTGAGGAAAATTTAACATAAACATTAAACATTAAATACATGGAATGAAAGCGTCAAATATTTTGAAAATTTTGCACCAAAAAGACCAATATATAAATATTTTATGTATTTCTTTTCTTTTAATTAATTAAAATGTATTGTAATATTTTATTTTAAAAATACAATAACTGTATTTTATTACTTAAACTATATTAATATTTCTTAAATATATAAATATTCATACATCTTATTATCTTTATTAATTAAAATAATATTTGATTAATGTTTAAAATGTGTATATTTTTTAATTAATTTCATAACTTAAAAGGTATTTTTTAAATAATTGTAATAGTTAATTAATTTAATTTAAATAATAATAATATTTTCATATATATATATATATATATATATATAATATTTAAATAATGTAATTATATTCTATTTTATTATTTTTTAAATTGTTTAAATAATAGTTAATTAATTTAATTTAAATAATATTCATATTTTGATATATGTGACTCTGGACCACAAAACCAGTCTTAAGTCGCACAGGTTTATTTGTCACAATATGGGTCAAAATGATCGATTTTTTCTTTTATGCCAAAAATCATTAGGATATTAAGTAAAGATCATGTTCCATGAAGATATTTTGGAAATTTCCTACTGTAAATATATCAAAACTTAATATTTGATTAGTAATATGCATTGCTAAGAACTTCATTTGGACAACTTTAAAGATGATTTTCTCAATATTTAGATTTCTTGCACCCTAATTGGAATGATTAGAATCATTACCTGGTGTGATGTTGAGAAGTTTACAAGCGGTCTCAATGTCCTTCAGAACTTCTCCCACTACCAGGCTTTGCACCTGTTCTAAAGATCTCTCCTCCACCTGTTCCTCCAGAGTAGGAGACAGCGGGGAGGCTCCCAGCCCGGGGCTGTCGATCACAGGGCACTGCTCCGGCTCCTGACACGGCTCCAGTCTGGGACCGATGTCCGTGGATGTGGACGAATCCGACACCCTCACCAGCCAGGCGGCGTCCTCGGTGAACAGCATGTCGAAGCAGGACAGATAGAGTCCCGGATGTCCTCGGTCCGAGCCGTCAAGACAGGGTTTGTGGTCGACCATCTCCAAGCCATCTTCTCGCTTAAGAAGGGCCAGCGAGCTCTCGGTGAAGCCTGTGGAGTGCGGTGGCTGAAGAACAGCGCTGTCTGACTGGATTCGGACGGGACTGGCCATTATGTCCTGCAGAAATTAAAGAGAAGAGTTGTTATTAAACCATACACCTAGATATTACACAATTGTATGACTATGTAGTGTGTAAAAGAGCAGCCGTACACCAGAACGTTCAGCAAACTGCTGGTTCTTGAAGGTTTTGGTGCTTAGGAACTCATCAACAAGCAACTCATCCTATGCAAAGAAAACTCTGAGCCTGAGTGATGCTGTTTCTGTTTTTAAGGCTTCCAGGACGAATGGGAATGAACGCAGAAAGTCAGTGCAGCATGGGGGAAGCAAACTGGATTTGACTTACTCATGGGTCACTTGTACAGAATGGCGACTGACACTGCAGCAGAGCAGTGGTTTGGAGGACTGCTTTCAAGGTGCCGTCCCCGGTCTCCTGTCTCCTGTGTCAGCATGAGTTTTTAATCAAATCGCAAAGAGGAAAAGATGCTTCAGATGTAGGAGCTGGAGCTGATATCTATCTCCAGTGGCCAGAGGGTAAAGACACAAAGGTAGGAAGATTGCTTGAAGGAAAGAGCAGCTCGGGTTACAAGTTCACTGGAAGATCATTATGCTTCCAAAGCACTAATAGCCTTAGAGAAACGTCTTTTTAAACTGCCGGTTGAAAACAAGAGTTTCCTTAAACAGTTTGTCTTGAAACAGTCATCTGCCAAAGCGAAATATGCCTTAAAGTGAAATGAGAAGAGATATTGCAGGAAAAACAAGCAAAAGAACAAAGACGACAAGCTGTTAGGGTCACATCAACACATGTGGCTATCAAAATAGTGATATACATCAATATAAACCAGGGACGATATTGTTAACTAAAACTAAAGCTATTAAAAATTGTTTTCAGCAATTGAAATAAAGCTGTAAAAATATAAATAATACATGAAAAATATATATATTTTAGTTTTAATTCATATAAAAAATAATATTTTAATATGTAAATAAATAATTATTAGTTTATTTATTAAATAAAATGTATTGATTTATTAATATAAAATTGCTGAAACTAAAATAGATTATAAATGAACTAATTAGAAATATTAAAAGCAAATAATATCTAATAATATTGTTAAAAAACAACTTAAATAAAACTGAAATAAAACAAAATATGCATAGTAAATGAAAAACTAATTTAAATTAGAAATACTGTCTTTGCAACTAACTGAACTAAATGTATAAATAACTAAACAAACAAATAAATGTTAAAAATCTATTTAAAAAATCTAATAAAATGAACATAGCAAACCTTGAACAAATTAAATGAAACTAAAATGAAAATGAACGAGCTAAATCAAATGATTAATAAACTACTATAGTTTTTGAGTGGTTCTTTGCCATGCAAAGGTTTCCGCAATCATGCAAATGCACTGTGGATGCTGACACTGAACCTTTCCTAAAAATATCAGTTGTTCTTTGAATGAAGGCTGTGCAATATTAAAATATGGCTTAGGGGCATCTAAGAAACTACTCTGAGGAATGCAAGAAAGCTGTCAAATATTCCCTGTGATAGAAACAAGGAACATCATAAATCATGAAGGTCTTGTCAGGGCCTTCACATTACATGAAGAACATCACAGGCAGCCAATGAGAGGCTGTCGGAACGAACAAAGCCTGCTTTGGTCAAGCGAGTACAACTGTAATTTGGACACACTCAGTGTTCGAATGTCATAGTTGCATTTGTAAAAGCAGAAACAGATGGTTCACAAGTATTTTAAAAATTGTCTCCGGTATTAAAGGGACAGTTCACCCAAAAAAGACACTTCGGTCATCATTTCAAAATCAAATGCTCTTCTTTTGTGTTTTGCATAAGCCACACAGGTTTGGAACAGCATGTAAATGAATAAGCGATGACAGAGGTTTCATGCAAGCAATCACATCTCTGATTTCTGGATCTTCCTGCATAGACATTTTCCTCTTTGCACTGCGTTGGATTTCATATGTTTTATTGATAGCCATAAAATTTCATATATAGATCCTGTGAGGGTATTTGTGGGGCAGCCTCCTCTTTTCATAAGTAAATATGTGGGCGTAATAGTTTGATTTAAAGTTCACGGCACAGATGGAGAGTAAGACGTGCTTGTCGGTAATCTGTTGTCATTAGAGTGTATGTCTACAGGACATTCCCCATCTACCACATGTTCTCGGACAACCTCCGTTTGTTTGGACACACCACTGCCGTCATTCATAAACTGGTGAGATTGCTCCACACCCAGCGATAGCAGAGGAAAAGTTTCATTCAGGTTTTAAAGGATGGATTATTATAACCTTTTATTGTGTCTCTCAGTTGACTTTTCCCTCATTTTTAAAAGCTTTCAAAAGTTACAGTTACATTACCTTTTTAAATTCACCTCTATAATAACTTTATAAAGTTTTAAAATCACAAACATTAATCTTTGCATTTTCAATTTTCCCCCCTCTATTTTGTCTAACTTATATTGTGGAAACTGCAATTATTTCACAGTAGTTAATGCATTGACTAACAACTAACAATACATTTAGTACTTATCAAGCTTCTTTAAAAAAATAAAAACTTTATTTTAAGGATTTTGCTAAACATAGAACAAACAAACAACACTGTCTACAGTGTTTGACTACACACACAAATGGAAAAAGAAGAAGAAAAAAGGAAATCGGGTAAATAATATCAATAATAACAATAATGTTTAAATAAAATAAGTTTTAAGCTTTTTAAACGTTAATTACTGAAAATGCAACTGTTCATTGTTAGTTTGTGTTAGCTCAGGTTCACTCAGAATAATATTAAAAGATGTAACTTTTTAATAATGCATTAGTAAATGCAATTTCAATAATGTATTAGTAAATGTTAAAATTAACATTAACTAAGAATAATAAAGACTTTATAAGTATTTTTCATTGTAGGTTCATGTTAACTAATGTTAAGAAATGAAACCTTGTTGTGACAATTCTTGTTATTACAATTTGTACTATTTTAATTTTATTTTTACATTTTTTTAAATAAATAATAAATTAAGTATATTTATTCATTTATTTTTTGTTTTATGAAAAGTTTTCTTTTTTTTATTCCAGGACGTATGACAAGCATAATTTGAAGGCGTTTCATTTGTCAAGACTTCAAGTAGTAAAACGTGTCAAAATGGCACTGCTGCTACTGCATGCATCACGTTGGACACGGCGATGGAATGGCAGAGGGTCAGAGGTCAAACCATTTGTCTCTCGCTCTTTCATATCTCTGTATGCAAACACAAACGGAGGCCCCGGACCGTATCTTTGAAGCTGGCCTGGAGTAAACCCTAAAGGAAATGAAGTTATTCTTCATGGAATCCCGTTCTCATCTCCAAACGCCTGCTGCTTTCACATCCCCCTCCCTCTCCTCTCCAAGGAAAAAGCTGGAGCGTGCTTTTGGGGCCGGCTTAGTTTCATGTCTGTAACCTAGTGTCCACTCTTGCTCGCAACAGCTTGCGATAAGCCCATTAGACAGGCACATTTAGTCATATTGACTCTGGCCAGCGGAGAAAAAGCAGCGGTGAGGAGATGCAAACACGCTCCCCAGGCGCGGGATTAGGCCTGTGACTGATCCTTAAATGAGTTTGGTTAAAGACTCTAAAATTCATTTTGGAAGGGTTAAGAGCCGCTCCATTTGCCAGGTCAGCAGCATTCAGTGCTAAATAACCACTGTTTATCAGCGTCTCACTCCAGAAGACACAACACTGGCCCTTCCCAGCAGTCACACTATACACCTGCTGTATTCATGCATGGTGCACTTCTCTAAAAAGCATACAGGAAAGGAAATAAATTATAATAATAAAATAAAAGTTAATAAAAAGTTTTTTTTGTCATTATATTGCAGTGATTAAAAAAGAAAGTAAAAAATAAATTAAAGTGATTAAAAAAAATAATAATAATAATAATGTCCAGAAAAAAAGCTTTAATTCTCATAGAAATCTATAATTGTCCTAAAATAGACTTCAGTTATAGTGATTCATTTATGCATGATGCATTTATTTTATAAAAAGCACACAGAAGAGAAAATAAATAATAAAAAATTTCAAAAAGAACCTAAAATAGACTTCAGTTATAGTGATTCATTTATGCATGATGCACTTATTTTATAAAAAGCACACAGAAGAGAAAATAAATAATAAAAAATTTCAAAAAGAAAGAAAGAAAGAAACAAACAAAGGTCCTGAAAGGCTTTATTTATAATGATTTATGCATGGTGTACTTATTTTAAAAGCATACAGGAAAGAAAATAAAAGATTATATATATATATATGTATATATATATTTTGCATTGTGACATAATTTTCTTATTAATTAAATACAGTACCAAATTAGGCTTCATTTTCTTCTAGTTCTTCTAATTTTCTTTTGTGTTGGAATCTCTCCCAGCATGGCAACCAGCATGGCTCAGTTCAATAGCAAAACATTACCTATTAATAACGAGTCTCACCGCTCAATGAGTCTATTAGGTTGTGTACCAGTGTGCACACGCCGTGCTCACAGCAAACGTCTCTTACTGGAAGAAATGCTCCGTCGACTGCAGGGTTTCAACAACAGCTGCACAATACTCAGCTTGTTCACATCATAAGGACATAAAAGATTTGGCAATCATTACAAGCAATTAGTACAGTGGCTCCCCCACCATATGACTGAGCTCCAGTGATGTGTTGTACAATGACTGGCTGATTCTGAAAAACCAGCAGCAGAACCAATAAAAACACTATCCAAGGTCAAAATGCCATATCCATGTAAAGTGGCCCCAAAAATTAGAGCCTTATATAGCACACTTAAAATTGACTAAATATCAGTATGGGTTTTCAGACTGAGCTTAACCCTGGGTTATTGTCAAAAATGATCCACGGCTTTACTCCAAATAAAACCAAAAACCATGGTTATAGTAGTTAAACCATATTGACCAAAATTTAACCATGGTTTTACTATACTAACCCTCGTTTAACCGTGGTATTTGTAGTGAAACTGTGGTTATACAAATGGTAAGCAATCTGCCAAAAAAACATAGCTAGCCTACTACACTTTTACTATAATAAAACCATGGTTAATTTTCGTAAGGGCATGCATTTGAAATAGTTAACACTGGGTCATTTCAAACCCTGGTTGTGATTCACGGTTCACACTGTTCTTTTGTTTTATTAACAAATAATAATGGGTATATAAGATGACACTGTACATTATTAAACCCGGGTTAAATTCTGTGTAAAGCCCTATTAGAAGTAGGGTTAGGACAGTTTGCAGCCCTTTTGCGGTGTTAGCCCGGCATTGCACTGAGCAACGTTGAATGTTACGGCTAGACACTTAGCAACCGACAGCCAATCGCGTAGCTCATATTAACGTGCTTTGGTCAGTTACGGAAATACCGCGCGTTGTGTAAACAGTTTCAGCGGTTGAGGGGAATATGTCAAAAGATGACAGAAAACGGGTCAGTTAGAAATTTATTGATACCCAAGATTAATTGTTAACCCCTGGTAAATTATGAGCACTGTGAAACGTGAATCAAGATAACTCAGGATTATGT